GGAGGTTGGGGCCTGGAAGGCTGTTGACAAGTTTTTAATTCTTCTGGATAAATAACAAGGAATTTAATTCTTCAACCATATGGTTGAAAACAGTTTTAGGTTTTTATAAAACTGCCATACTATCCTCCAAAGTGGTCATATCATTTTTGCATCCCTACCAGGTAGAAATTATAGTTCCTTTCACTCTACATCTTCACTAGTATGGGGTGGAGTCAGTAGTCTGGCTTTTAGCTACTCTATTTGTTATTTCATTTAAATTTCCTTAATATATGATGTAAAACATCTTCTCACAGGCTTATTTGCCATCTGTACATAGTCTATAGTAAGGTGTCTGTTAAGATATTTAGCCCATTTTTAGTAAAGATTGTTTCTTTATTGTTCTTTGTATGTGTTGGATAGCGGTCTTTTATCAGGTATGTTTTATTTTGAAATGTTTCTTCCTAGTTTGTGTTTGCTTTCCCCTTCTCGTGGTAGTGTCATTTTAAAAAAATTAATGGTATCAGTTTTTTTCATCATTAGATACAAGATTATCTATGTTTTATCCTACTAGCAGTACCTTAGTTTTTCTAGTTTCAGTTAAGCCTAAGACCCACTTTGAGTTAATTTTTGTGAAAGATATAGGGTCTCTGTTTAGATTTCTTTTATATTTGGACATTCAATTATTCCAGGGCTATTTGATGAAAAGATAGCATGTTTTCTTTTTTTATATACAAAAGTTTATTTATTACAATGTACAACAAGCTCCAAGATAACACTTCATTCTAGCTGTAGGTGGCAAAGATGTTATAGTAGGGAATCCAGATGTTTAAATAGGAATGGAAGAGGGTCACCATCATCTCAGGTATGAGGAACAGCTTACTTTTTGTCAGATTTCTTAATTCCACCTGTGACCAGGGGCCCCTCCCCGCGGCCTTGGCTTTCAGCTCCTCCAGTTTCTTCTGTTCCTCCTTTTGTTTCTGTTTGAAAGCCTTCCTCGTCCATCTCCTTGGCCTGCTTCTTGGGCTGTTTCAGGGGCTTCTTTTTGCCACCTTCGCGGCCCAGCCCCTTCCCAGACCCTGAGCCTAAACCCGATAGTATGTTTTCTACAGTGCATGGCATTCACTTAATTTTCAAAGTTTAGCAGAACATATTTATGTGGCTCTACTTTAGAGTTCTCTATTCCAGCCCATTGAAATATTTGTCTGTTCTTTCATCAGAGTTTTAGGAAAAAATTTTAGGCTTCAGAGAGGGTCCCAGTGGACTAGGTTCAGCTACCTGCTTGAATATGCTAATTAAAGAAATGGGCAGAAGCCAGGCGTTGGTGGTGCACACCTTTAATCCCAGCACTCGGGAGGCAGAGGCAGGCGGATCTCTGTGAGTTCGAGACCAGCCTGGACTACCAAGCGAGTTCCAGGACAGCCTCCAAAGCCACAGAGAAACCCTGTCTCGAAAAACCAAAAAAAAAAAAAAAAAAAAAGAAATGGGCAGAGAAAGAAGTTTTTTTTTTTGAGAAAGAAGCTTTAACTAATAGGATTACACTAGATCAAACAAAACAAAATAATGAAAAAAAAAGAGATTCATTGACCCTAGGTCTATTTTAAGGAATTTTTTGAGAATTTATAGGAGAGGAAATAAATCAAAGAAAAGAACTGAGACATGCATAGCTGAGGAGTTGGCAATGTTAGATAGCTCACAGAGTAGGTAATCTTGTTCAGACTGGTGATTTGACCAACCATTATCTCAGTTCTGGTTTTAGAGAAGTTGTTATCACAGTCATCACTTGAAGGAAACAATCTGGTTTCCATGAAATGATTGTTCCTGATCCAGGGTATTGCCTCTATTCCCTTCATGGAGAAATTGCCTCCATTTGGGGAACAACTTCATCATAGGGGTAATCTGTTCTTTGGGGCACATCGTTTCTTGGGGAATAGTTTGAGCCTTTTGTTATAATGACATTTGTTCATTAGTCCTACCCTTCTTAGAATTCAAGGTACCTGAAGAAAAGTGTGAGTTAGAGAGAAAAATTTAGAAAGGGAAAATAGAGCCTGAGTGGGATAAAATGGAGTTAGTTAGGCTACTGAGTGAGTTTTCTTTTAGTACCACAAGTCTTGACTACTATAGCACTAGAATAAATAATGAAATATGATAGTGTCAGTTCCTTAATTTTGTTCTTCTCTTTCTATATTATAATAACATTTCTGTATTTCTGCCTTTCCATCCACTTAAACCTTATATATAAACTATTCATATACACATAATTGCTTTCTGTTTTTGATTAGAATTACACTACATTTATAGATTAACTTGGGAATAGATATGTTGACAATATTGATTTATTTATGAATCAATAAGTTTCTTAAGAGAATTAATGTGGTATATTTCTCCATGTATTTAATTTAAAAATATTTTTATTTTTGATTATGCCTATATGTATATGTCTGTGTGTGGATATATGTACATGTAAGTGAAAGTGCCTGTGGAGTCCAGAAGAGGTCATCAGTCGTTGGATTCCATGGAGCTGGAGCACAGGTAGTTATTAACTACCTAGTGTGGGTACTGGGAACCAAACTCTGAAAGAGAAGTGTGTGCTTTTAACTAGTGAGACATTTCTGCAGGTGTCATTTATTTAACTTATTATGTATGCTGTATATCTGTGTGTATGAATGTGGAGGCTATAAGTCAGTTTTGAATGTTTTCCTCTATTGTTATCTACCTTATTTTTTTAAAACACTTTCTTAATGAACCTGAAGCTTATCAATAAACTAAATTATCTGACCAGTGAGCTTCAGGGATCCTCCTGTGTACACTGCCATCTCCGGGGTTACAAATATGGGATGCTGAAACAGCTTTTATGTGGATGCTGGGGATCCAAACTCAAATTATTTTTTTGTTTGTTTGTTTTTTTTGGTTTTTCGAGATAGGGTTTCTCTGTATTGTCTTGGAAGCTGTCCTGGAACTCGCTTTGTAGACCAGGCTGGCCTGGAACTCACAGAGATCCACCTGCCTCTGCCTCCCAAGTGCTGGGATTAAAGGCGTGAGCCACCAACACCCGGCTCCAAACTCAAATTCTAATGCTTGCAAGATAAGCACTTTACCAACTGACCATCTTTATACTCTCTCCATTTATTTAAGGTCTTTTGTTTTATTTCACCAGAATTTTTCAGTTTTACTCATAGATTTTGTACACATTTTGTTAGGTTTATACTTAAGCAATGTATTTTATTTTAGGAGGTACTAGTATAAACTATATTTTTTTACTTCAATTTTCACTTGTTAATTGGTACTGTATAGGAAACTGATGAACCTGCATTAACTTTATGTTATGAAACCCTCCAATGATAGCCTATTGTTCAAGGAAAAATTTATTGATTTTTTCATGGTTTCTTGTCATATTGTATTTATTAATACTTATAGTACAATGTTAAAAAGCAGTACAGAGAGGGAACATCTTTGAAATTTTCTTATTTTTAGAAGGAATGTTTTGAGTTTCTTACCATTAATTATGGTGTTAGCTATAGGTTTCTTTAGGTTTTCCCGTCCACCTTCCCCTTCTCCCTCCTTCCCTACTCCCCTCTGTGCCTCTCTACCTTCCTTCCTTAGTACTGCAGATTGAACTCATGTCCTTGAGCATGATAGGCAGGCACTCTTACCATGTAGCTACATCCCCTGCTCTGTAGTTTTCTTTACCAAGTTGAGAACGGTCCTCTTTATTCTTAGTTTACTGGGGGTTTCTGCCTTCCTTCCTTCTTTCCTTCTTTCCTTCCTTCCTTCCTTCCTTCCTTCCTTCCTTCCTTCCTTCCTCCCTCCCTCCTTCCCTCCCTCCCTTCCTTCTTTAAACAATGTTGCATGTGTATGTGTGTGTATTCAGTTATCCGTGCATGTGCCTATGCACATGGCCCAATTTTACATCATAGTTACACAGGCTCTTTGGGAAGGTCATGGACTTTCATTGTTTAGGCTCTTTCCAAGGCTTCTAATATGTTGATGTGGTTTCCTCACATTATCACCAATCCAATGTTGTTCTGTTGCCCACTAGTTACCTCTGCATATACTCATTAATCTCAAGATTCATAAAGGGATCAAAGCTCCACAATATTCCTTAAACTTGTAAGTGAAAGTGCTTGTGGAGTCCAGAAGAGGTCATCAGTCATTGAATCCCTTAAACTTAATGTGGGATATAGTAATTGATTTTCAAGTGTTTAACCAGAGTTGCATAACTATTATAAACCCCACTTGATCATGTTATATAATTCTTCCTAAACATCACCAAATCGAATTTGTTAGTATTATTTAGAATGTTTTTATTTATATTCATGAAATAACTTCATCTATAGTTTCCTTCTAATATTTCTGGTTTTGTATTAGAGTAATTCTGGCCTTATTTGATGAGTTAAGACATATTCAATATTCCTTATTGACATTTCTTCTTTCAATTCAACAACTATTCTAAATTTTGTCTCATTTTCGCATCCATGTAACAAGTTTCTAGATTAGTTCAAATGCTCTGAACTAATTCCCATACCTGAGTATCTGATTATTGTTGCAGAAAGACCACAGTCACTGACTCATGGTAGCAGAGCTCAACTGAGCCCTTAATGCTGACTATGATGCTGTTGTTCTATGTTAAACTTGTTTTCTTACTTACTCCAATGGATATTTCAAACGTTTTCTCCTGAGACCCACAGGTACATCTCCACTATTTCCAAGCTGAAAAGATTCTTTTAATAAATCCAGTAAACACTTGTTAATTATTTTCTGTATCTCCTTTTGATTTATGAAGAGAACCAAAACCATTAGACAACCTAAATATCTTTAGAATCTAGACTTATTTTCCATCTCTTGGGGAATGGATTCTAACTCCCAGCTACATTTAATAGGAAGCTTTTTGTATGGAAATTATGTATTATTCTTTCCTGCCTCTCTGAGCTTTAGGCACAGGCCCTGGGGAGGACAAGGACTTGGTCTTTAGTTTCAATAGATATTGTCCTGCAGCACTCACCACTCCAGACTCTATCTTTAAGGTGATGTACAAAGCCAGTCCTTAAGACACCGAGAAAAGCGGCTCAGTTTAAATCTGGTAAGTTTGGCCCTTTCATTCCTTTAAGCTTCAGTTTGACCAGAAATAACCTGACCATGTGTGATATTTCCTTTAAATCTTCTGAGATTCAGTACTCTGAATCTTTGAGAACTCTTGCAGTAATCCCCTAAATATTTTAACTGATTAGGGTAGCTATAAAAGCACTGTATTATACTTGAAGCATGTATTGTTATTTTCTTGTTGCTGTGAAAAAATATCTGATTGAAGACACTTAAGGGAAAGGCTTATTTTGCTTCATGGTTTATTCAGTTCAGGGTTCTAGAATTCTGGAAGTTTGATACTGCCTACATTCAGAGTGGGACTTCCCTTCTCATTTAAATCTCTCTAGAAATACTTCCAAGATGTGTCTCCAAGGAATCCCAAACCCAGCCAAGCTGATATTCAGAAGTAACTACCACAGAGCAAATCATTAATTCAAAACCTTTAGTGTCTTAGCATGAGATCTTGGAGAGTTATCATCTATTCTCATGTGAATTCAGAGGCAGAACTTTGACAAGATGCTTGTCCAACTTTCCCTAGGAAATTCAGGATTACTTTTGGGGAAATTTGGAACTGAAACTGTATGCACAGCTGTAGTGCCTACTAGTAGCAGTTTGCATTTGTGGTCTATACTTACCAACCTATACTTGTTCTGTCTTGCAGCCATGTAAGTTTTCACCGATGTATCCCACAGCTTCACTCAGTGCTGAAGACAGCAGCTATGTGCCCATGAGCCCTAAAGACACTACTTCTAGTCTTAGACCCAATTACTGCCAGGATGACTACATCCCAATGAGTTCAAGCATGCTGCCAGAGTTACCTGCAGACTTGGAGCCACCTCCAGTGAACAGAGATCTCAAGCCCCAGAGGAAATGTAAGACATTTGACTAGGATTGCTGTGTTGGGTATGAGGGCAAACTCCTTCCTTATTAGAAAGAGCCAGGCAGTGGTGGCACATGCCTTTAATAACAGAATTTGTGAGACAGAGGCAGACAAATCTCAGTGAGTTTGAGGCCAATATGGTCTGCAAAGTTCCAAAGCAGCCACGACTGTTACACAGAGAAACCCTGTCTTGAAAAACCAAAGAAAATAATACTAGAAAGAAATAGATGGGGAAGAATTAGGAGGTTGGGGGTACCCTATGTTCCAAAATTGTTATGATAAAAAGAGTCAGGGGACCTAAAGTTAATCAGGCTCAGAAAATGCAACCTACAAATCCAAGTTCATTCCAGAGGGCTCATTTTTACCTACTTCCACAATGGAGTCCCAGGAGTAAGTGATGAGAATCATAATGGAAGCCAGAAAACATCTCTTTAAATAACCCTTGAATGTATAGTGCTGGCCTTCTGTAAGGTCACCAACAATAGTTTTTGATGATAATTGCTTAATGCCCTTCATATTTTAGTACATTTTATAACTTATTACTCTGTGCATACCATATGTCAGCAGAGGTAGTGGTAGGGTAGGACTTCAACTATGAATGACGTGCACACTGTGCACACTGGGCAATTTTTAGTGCTGTGTTACTACTCCCAGGCATCCCTTCTGATCTGCTAAGTATCATGGACATACAAGAAGAAGAAAAAGAAAAAGAAAAGGCAGATCAAAGTGAATTCTTCATAATTTTTGAGGTTCTTTTCTTTTATGTATGTGGGTATTTTGCCTGTATTTATGTCTGTGTGCCACATGCATTCAGTGTCCATAGAGGCCATAAGGGGCCATCAAATCCCCTGGAACTGGAGTTATAGATGGTTGTGAGCTCCCATGTAGGTGTTAGGAACAGAATTTGGTTCTCTGGAAGAGTAATAAGTGCTCTTAACCATTGAGACATCTTTCCCTCAGAGTGAATTCTTAACTTCATTGTTACTTACCCTCACCTGCCCAGTAAGTTATGTGATTACAAGGAAGCATTTGGTGCAATGGCTATGATCCCTGTCACACCATATGGTCTGCGTCTGCCTCTCATTGCTCTTTGGAAAAACTACCCCTTCTGGTGGTCATGGCCAAAGATGCTAAATGAGACCTAACTCAGATCTAGTCCATTCCAGCCACTCCTTTCTGAGTGTAAGCCAACCATGTGTTGGCCATGCATGCAGGGGTGTGTTAGGCACCAGATAGTAAGTAGGGGTGAAAATCAAGAAGGGTCTTTAGTCTGAGGAGGAAGATCATATATCAAAACCACCTGGAAGAAACAAGAAGCACTACAAAATCAGTATTAAATTGAACACATTCTGTCTTGAGGGATACAAAGGAAATAGCTAGCCATTCTAGTCAGAAACAACATCAGACCATTTTAAACAAATAGAAGCAGGTGAAACAGTGGGAATATGAGCCAGGACCAGGTGAGTTGTGGTATGAATCCTGGAATTCATGCAGAAACAAACAGGTGGTGAATACAGCTAATTGTTATGCTACCAGGAGAGATTTTTCTCAACCGGGACTGCATTCATGTGTTTCTACCTCTTGAGCCTAGACCCCTGGTACCTAAGAAAACAACTGAGCAACAGGAAGGTCTCTGTCAGCATGTTTTTCTGCCCATGTAGTTTAGTAGTGGAAACTGATATCAAATCATCCAGATAGGCCACTGAGCAAGTACAAAGTATGGAGGTTGCTGCCTTGAGCAAGCCAAAAGGAACCCCTGCCATCTGGGATCATAGTCTAGACTACTGTCAAATAATCACAGATATTGTGTCTTTATAAACTGTGGAGGGAGTTCATGAAGCATAATCAAACAAAAGCACAAAGCCTGTGGTGAGGGATCTGGCACTGTCTGGAGGCCAGAGAAGGCCACCCAAAGCAGGGGACATTGAACTGAAATGAGAAGATGAGTAACTAGGGAACAACATGAGGAAGACTATTTTAGGTAGGAGGACTGTTAGGTGGCGACATGGAGACTAGAAATTGGTGATCATTTCTGCCTCTCAGACATGTAGTGTCTGGAATACATTGGTCTTCCTGAGGCTATAGATTTCTGTATATTGGTTGATATGTGTTTCAAGTTTGGTTTCCATTGTGTTGCATGACAGATAGACTGAGTTTTCAATACATGTTTGTTGACAAATGTATGGTCTCATTTTGTTACCTCTAACATGCCATGAGGCCATTTATTCAATAGTTGTCTTTATCCCCATGGAATCAGGCAAGAATGGGATACTGAAATTCTCACTCACCCAAACCAGATGCTAGGGAAATTCCCAGGAATTCACAAAGACAACCCCAGCTAAGACCCCTAGCAATAGTGCAGAGGGTGCCTAAACTTCCCTTCCCCTTTAATTGGATTAGTGACTACCCTAATTGTCATCATAGAACTTTCATCCAGTAACTGATGGAAGCAGATGCAGAGATCTACATCCAAGCACCAGGCCGAGTTCCTAGAGTTCAGTTAAAGATAGGGACGAGGGATTATATGAGCAAGGGGGCTCAGGATCATTATGGGGGAACCTGCAGAGACAGTTGACCCAAACTTTGGGGAGCTCATGGACTGACTACTGAGAATCCTGCATAGGACCAAACCAGGCCCCCTGCATGTGGGCAAAATTTTGTATCATGATCTGTTTGTGGGACCTCTGGCAGTGGCAACAGGATCTATCCCTAGTGCATGAGCTGTCATTTTGAAGCCCATTCCAATATGGTGGAATTCCTTACTCAGCCTTGATGCAGGGGTGGAGGGATGGGGGTTTGGGAGGTGGGGGCTGGTTCTGCCTCAAATGAGTGTGCCAGGCTTTGTTAATTCGCCATGGGAGGCCTTATCTTTTCTGAGGCATGGATGGGAGTGGTTGGGGGAAGATGGGGAGAGGGGAGGAGGGGAGGGAGGGGGAACTATGGTTTGTATGTAAAATGAATTTTAAAAAATTCTCACTCATCATCAGTAATTCCTGCTAGTATATTTGAATTTGACATGTAAAGAAAGTGAATTGTGATACATTTTACAACCTTTAGATTCCCGCTTTAAGTTTCTGAGTGCTAACCATACTGAATACTGTGCACTGTTTTTTTAGCACGGCCACCTCCCTTGGACCTGAGGAACCTTTCCACCATTCGAGAACACACATCTCTAACCAGGACTCATACTGTGCCTTGGTAAGCCCGAGATCTTAAAACTCTTGTGGTTGAAGCTCATTTCATCTTACTTAAGGGAGCCAAAGAAGGAGTTGATCTTGTTATCAAGAACGGTGAGTGGTTTCTAGACCGTAAAGAAAGGTGTGTGACTGGGTTCCTCTGGATTTTGAAGCCTGGAAATAGAGCAGTGTTAGGAACTTCTTTCTCTTCCTGCTGTACCTGTTCTCTGCAGAGCTCTTTTCTTTGTTGTATGATCCTGCTCTGTATTAATCAGAGTTCTTTAAAGAAATGGAACTGATAGAACAAATATGTATATATTAAAAGATATTTTGTTAAAGTGGCTCACAGGCTGTGGTTTCAGTAGTCCAACAATGGCTGTCTCCCATTCCTGGAAGGCCAGGAATATATTAGTTGTTCAGTCTATGATATTAGATGTCTCAACAGTTCCAATCTGGTGCTGGAGTCCCAGGGAGTTCCCAGAGAGATTCTGATCTTCAATCTACATTGGGATCCTAAGGAAGTAGGTTTTTTTTAGTAAACCATGAAGTTTTATTATGGGAACTAATGGAAATATGGGTGAGAGGTTACTACATGGCAGACAAAAATGACTCTGACATCAGCTGCATCACTGAAAAGCCCACTCCAACGAAGATGATGACTCATAAATACTACAGCCCTGGAGCTCTCTGCAGATGCCTCAGCAGCCAGAAAACCTCCCATGCAGCCCAGCTGCTCAGGTCAAGGAAGTAGGTTTTAACACCAGTGAAGAAATGCCTCAGCAGCAGGGTAGATGGATTTGCCATCAGAAGTTGCAGCCCAGATTTAGAGTGGATTTTCCCACCTCAAATGGTCTAATAAGGAAAATCCCTCAGTTGTGCCCAGCTGTTTGGGTTTTAGTTGATTCTAGATGTAGTCAAGTTGACAACCAAGATTATCCATTACATAGTCCAAGTTTGTTTACATGCTTGCACCAACGAAGATGAACTATTTTTCAATCCCAGTGCAGCTATCCAAGGGAGACAAAATTATGGGATTCTGTCAGATTGAATCAACTATGGCATAGAGTATACAGACAGCACTACTAACTAGAGAATCCCAACTTTATGAATTATATCTGAGAAAAGAGCTCTCAGAGAAAGTGGGATAGTTTATGGACTGGGTGAAAGTGGGATAGTTTATGGACTGGGTAAACAAACCCTAACACGTCTGTGCCTGCTCATCTTACCTTCTAGAAGCTGCATTTTCCTAGCTCATGATAAATGCCACAGGACATGGTAAATTTTTTGTTTTGTTTTTTGAGATAGGTTTCTCTGTGTACCTTTAGAACCTGTCTTGGAACTCACTCTATGGATCAGCCTGGCCTTGAACTCATAGAGATCCACCTGCCTCTGCCTCCCAAGTGCTAGAACTAAAGGTGTGCACCGCCAATGCCCGGCTACCTTTTTTGAGGCAGGGTCTCTGTGTAGCCCTGGTTGACCTGGGTGGAATTTACTATATAGCCTGTCTTTGCTTCTTGAGTTCTGGGATTAAAGGTAAAGGGATACACCATGCAAACATGCTAACTTTGTAAAGCAAAATTCTGCAGAGAGCTTTATTACCAGGCTGAATTGTAGAGACACTTAGCCCGTTCTTCTGTCTCAGGAGGAAGGCAGAAGTTAATACACTGTCTCTTCTTGTCCTATCAGATGAATGAGTACACTTTCATACTTCTGGCTACTTTAGAAGCTAAAAGACCCCAAGGAAGTGGGGAGGGGTTGTTGTTTGATTGATTGTTTAGATTTTTCTTTGGAGTATTTTCTATTCTGTCAGCTTTATTACTTTGGAGCATTTTTGTTAATTTGTTGTTGTTTGCTAAATACAATGTATTTGTCTGTGTTACATGAAGGGTTTAGGAAAAAAAAACAACTGGGAAGCATTTGCTCCAGAGTGGGACAGGGCTACTGGGAAGTGTCTTCTTCAAGATTGCTTGGTATAAAAGGAAGCAGTGTCTGGAAGGGGAGGCCTCAAACCCCACAGGGCTGTGTCTGTAGCTGGCTATGTTTCAGAGCAGCTGTAAGACATTGCATTGACCTCATCTGTATTTTTTGGTCTTAGCAATCGAACCAGCTTTCTCTCTCCACAAAGAAATGGTATTAATTCTGCAAGATTTTTTGCCACTCCTTCCTCCTCCGAAGAAAGCTACATCCAAATGGTAACCTTGTATTTTTAATTTTCTTTTTCTTCTCCAATTCTATAATCTTGAGTGTTCATTATGATAAAAGCACATTCCTCAGAAATCTCTGCAATCATAAAGCACACTTGATTGTAAAACCAGGTTGTTATTATTATTTTTTAGATTGGGAGCAAATCAATTTGAAATTGATTTCCTTTTTTCTTTTTTAAATGCATATTGTAAGTGTGTGTATGTGTGTAGTGTATGGGTATGCATATATACATATTGGTGCATGTGCACATGTTTATACACATTTGTATGAGAGTCAAAGGTTGACATCAGGAATTTCCCACTATCTCTCTTCACCTTACCATTGTTTTTCTTCAAGTTAATCTTAGGATGGGGTCTCTCGTTGAACCCAGAACTCATTGTTGGCAAGGCTGCCTGACCAGAGAATTTCAGGGATTGATCCATCTTCTCCTCCCAACCAAGTACCCGAATTACAGATGTATGTAATCATGCTGAGTTTTTGTGTGGGTTCTGGAGATCCGAACTCATATCCTAACATTTGAATGCAAAGCTCTTCATCTACAGAGTCACTCCTCAGCTCCCTTGAAGCTGTTTTACTTTCCTGCAGTATTCAGCTCCTCATACCATTTGAAGTCCACAATATTTCAAGAGAACCTAGGACTTAAAGCCTGTGTTATGGAAAATAGAAATGGTATTCAATTCTTTTTTTTCAAGAAACTGTGATGTTCTGTTTGATTCCATTGGGTTTGTAATTCTCTAAATGTTCAAAGTCCAGGCTGTGAAAACAGTTTTATTGGAGACTTTATTTTATAAAAACACCTACCTCTGAACTTTCTGGAGATTTGTGTTTTATGGTCTTTCTGTAGACTTTGAGTGTGTAGAGATGTGACGTCCTTGTCCTTTGATTAGCCAGTCACAGTTCAAGAGTGCTAATATCTCCTTCCTGTCCTGTTGCCCTATTCTCTTAATGTTGATTCTGTTGAGATCATGGGTTTTGAAAATGCTTTTAGCATCCCTAGAAATTAAAAAACCCTTATCTAGAACTATGTCTATTCACAACATAGAAACAGGGAGTTCCAGAGAGAATTTCACCATGAAGATTATGTTTTGAAGAGATCTTCTCCATCCTGCTAAGGCAAGATGATGTTCAAAGCACTGATAATATGCTCTTTAAGAAGACAATCTTATCCTCCTATGTATGAGGGGCCAAAGCAATTGAAGCACATTGTATGCATTATGAAATGTTCAAGTAATATATTAAAATATATAAAATAAAAAGAGAGGGGGTGAAGAGGAAGAGAGTTGGTCATGGGGGAACAGGAAGTTGAGGGGGTGGGGTAGAATAGGGGGAAGAGGGAATCATAGGATCGAATACAGATCAAGCACCAGAGCGACCTCGAGTGATCTAAAGGGATAACACCAATTGGCAAGCTAAGCAATAGTGGAGGGACCACCTCGAATGCCCATTCCTGATAATGAACTTGATGTCTATAACCATCCGGGAGCCTTCATCCTGTGACTGATGGAAGCAGAGGCAAACACACAATTAATCACTGAACTGAACACAAGGAACCCAGTGACAGAGAGAGAGGAGTGATGAGCAAATTGGCAAAGAATGGGCTGGCAAAACCAGCAGAGACAGCTGATCTGAACAGGGGAGAGCTCTTGGACCCCAGACTGACAGTGGGGAGGCCAGCATGGGACTGATCTGGACCCCCCCCAAATGTGAGTGTCAGTGAGAAGGCCTGGGCAACCTATGGGGCCCTGAGCAGTGGATCAGTGTCTATCCCTGGTATACAAACAGTCTTCGTGTGCCTATAGCACAAAGAGGGATGCTCTCTCAGCCTGGACTCTTAGGGGAGTGCCTGGACCCTACCAAGAGTGAAATGACAGACTCTAGATATCCCCTATGTGGAAGGATTTGGCAATAGGGTGGGAGGGAGGGGGAAGGGGAGTGCGGGAGGAGGGGAGGGAGAGGGAACTGGGATTGACATGTAAAACAAGCTATTTAAAATTAAAATAAAAAATGATAAAAAAATAAATTAATTAAAAAATAGTTGAAAATGGGTTATGTTGAGAAAGGCAAGAAGATTTTTGTTCAGAATTGTGCCCAGTGCCACAGCATGGAAAAGGAAGGCAAGCATAACACTGGGCCAAATCTCTGTGGTCTGCTCAGGAGGAAGACAGGTGAGGCCACTGGATTCTCATACACAGATGTCAACAAGAACAAAGGGAGAGGATACCCTGATGGAGTATTTGGAGAATCCCAAGAAGTACATACCTGGAACAAAAATGAGCTTCGCTGGAATTAAGAAGGGAGAGAGGGCAGACCTAATAGCTACCATAAAAGAGGGAGCCAGTATAAGTTGGAGGAGAGATCTGGCACTTGTGAGATCTTCACAGATCTACAAGAATGACACCAACTGGCATTAAGGCTACCTTAAATGTCCTCCCGTGATAATGAGTATGATGACTACATTATATGCCATCCTAGAACTCTCATCCAGTGCCTGATGGAGGCAGAGACAGACACCCACAGCTGCAAACCTTATTGAACACCTGGAACCCAGTTGCAAAGAGGAGTGATGACCAAAGGAATCAAGCTCAGGCTAGCGAAACCCACAGAGGCAGCTGACCTCAACAAGGGGGAACACATGGACCCCAGACTGATGACTGAGCGTCCAGCATGGGACTGATCCAGATATTCCTCCCACTGAACCTGGGTGACAGAGAGGAGGCCTTGGCAATCTGTGGGACCTTGGAGAGTAGATCAGTATTTATTCCTGGCATACAGAGGGATCTGGGAACCCATACCGCGTGGAGGGATGCTCTCTCAGCCTGGACACATGGGGAAGAACCTAGGCCCTTCCCAGGATGATGTGACAGACTCTGAAAATCCCTCATGGAAGCCCTTGCCCTCCCTGGGGAGCAGAGGGGGGATGGAGTGGGGGTGAGGGGTTGGGAGGATTGGGGGGTGATGGAGGAGGGGAGGGAGAGGGAACTGAGAGTGGCACGTGTAAAAAGTTAAATAAAAAAGGCTACTAATGAGTAAAAAAAGCCTAAAATGAATTACATCTAAGAAAGTAATAGCTAAATGCTTCATTTTGTCTTATTTGATAAAAGTATTGTGATGCACTTAACTATATGCAGGTGGGAAGTGACTCATCTATAAATCTGCTATGTTCTTTCCAATATTTCTTACACTTAGTAATGGCCCTTGGAAAACTTCTAGAAGAAAGCATTACTATAAAGGATTCTGAACAGCTGTGTTCTGTCTCTGGAGAACAGAAAAGGGAAGTGAGTCTAAAATATTATGGAAGCAAGTGGAAAGTTATTCCAGACACCAAATTTTGCTTCTGATATTGAGACAATAAGACCAGTCATTTCAAAAACAAAACAGTTAAATATTGATTGCTTGACTAAGTGTGTATAGGTTGTCAATGAATGTGTATTACTGAACAATATGACACAGAAATTGAAGAGCAGGCAATACCGGTTGATGATAGATGTGAGTGAAGTACTATGTGAAAAAGGGGAAGGGGTGTCTTACTTCATTCAGCTGCGCTTGTTTAACTTCAGTTTACAATATACTCTGAAATGACTTGTTTATACCTTGTGCCACACAAGGATAGTCAGAACTAACGTATATTATATTGATTTTTTCCATAATCATATGTGTCAATGTTTTTCACTGAAGATAAGCTCTGATCTGATTGTGAAGAGTGAGGCCATGCAGCAGTTAAGGTTACTGGTCAGGTTTGATTCCCAGTACCCACATGATAACTCACAAACATCTGAAACTCCAGTTCCAGAGGATCTGCTGCCCTCTTTTGGCCTCTGCTGATATCAGGCGCACAAGTTGAGGCAAGGGGTTGAAATGCAAGTTTGGTCTTATTACTATACAAGTGTTTTTATATATCCTTTAAATGTTTGTGAAATGAAAGTTTAGAAGACTAAACAATTTTTTTTGGTATTTCAAGACAAGGTTTCTCTGTGTAGCTTTGGAGCCTGTCCTGGCACTTGGCTCTGTAGACCAGGCTGGTCTCAAACTCACAGAGATCCACCTGCCTCTGCCTCCTGAGTGCTGGGATTAAAGGTGTGAGCCACCACAACCTGGTGACTAAACATAATGTTAATGCTATTTCTTATATGTAAGTTTTTCAAGCTTTACAATTTAAACAATTTTTAAGACTTCTTTTCTATTTTAACTATATCTATTTATGTGTATGTGCATGTGCACAAATGCATGCATTTCTGTACACATGCCACAGTGCATATGTAGCAGTCAGAGGACAACTTTTGGAAGTAGAATACTATAGTGTTAAAACTCAAATTAATAATTTTTATTATAGCATTATAATACCCTTTTTTTGGAAAAAGTCTCCTGTAACCCAGGTTGATGTTAGCTCAGTATGTAGCTCAAGTTGACTCCTGAACTTCAAATCCTTTTAACCCCACCTCCCAAGTTCTAGGATTACAGACATACACCATGATTCCAAGTTTATTTGGGGCTTCATGAGTACTAAGCAAGCACTGTAACAATTGAAATATCAATAATTACCCAGCCATAAAATACTTTGTACATGTGTATGTGTGTATTAGTGTGTGTGCATGTTCATGTTAATGTGTGAAGTAGTGCGTGTATATGTGTGCATGAATGTGAAAAATAGAAGAAAATGTGTCATTCTTTTTTTTAAATATTTTGACAATTTGTTTTAATTTATTTTTATCTTTAAATTTAAATTAGAAACAGGGTTGCTTCACATATCAATCCCAGGTTCATCTCCCTTTCCCTCCCCTCCTCCCGTGCCCTCCCACCCCCCCTAATATCCCCTCATTTCCCCAGGGAGGGTGAGGCCCTCCATGGGGGTGTCCATAGTCTGTCATTTCATTCAGGGCAGGATCTAGACCCTCCCCCAAGTGTCCAGGGTGAGAGTGCATCTCTCATTGCTGGATGGGTGCCCAAAGTCCATTTGTATACCCTGGATAAATACTGATCTACTGCCCAA